AAACCATTACAGGCGAATATTATTCATCGTTATTGGATCGTTTGATAACCAAGTTTCTAGAGAAACGTCTACGATTGGCCCACAAAAAAGTCCTCTTCCACCACGACAATGCGCCAGCTCACGCCTCAGCAGTTGTGGCCGCAAAACTGATGGAGATAGGGTTTCAACTCATTTCACATCCCCCCTATTTTCCAGACTTGACTCCGTCGGACTACTATTTGTTCCCTAATATGAAAAAATGGCTGGCGGGGAAAAGATTTTATTCAAACGAGGAGGTGATTGCAGAAACGAATGCCTATTTTACAGACTTGAATAAATCCTATTATTTGGAAGGGATTAACAAACTAGAGCAGCGTTGGATAATGTGTATAAGCCTAAAAGGAGACTATGTTCAAGAATAAAAAAGATTTATTAAAAAAAATCAAGCAGTTTTTATTTTTGCACGGACTTTTCAAACGACCCTCGTATAACTTGATAATGATGATTGATATATTAATCAAGATTCTATCTTATAAAAGTTATGTAGAATTATAATCAGTTTTACTTATTATTAAATTGAAAATGATAAAGTTATATCTCTTGGAATTATGGAACATATAGTTTGAAATAGGTATCGTAATAAATGTCCTAGACTCTCGTTATTTTATATTACAGTACTTAGTGCGGAAATTTAAGAATTTGTTGTTAAATGAAAAATTTTGATTTCTTATATGTTATCCTTTGAGACATTGATTCACTACAGGTAAATTGTTCTCACTTTTTGATATGTTTCACTGTAAGAGGGGGAGAGGGATATACTGTGCAATCAGGAAAACTAAACGCACAAAATCCCTCGATGCCAAGCTAACCACCGTCCTGTTCAGCAACTATGTGTATACATGTGTTCGTCTTTACAATTGACACTTCGTTCCAACTTCTCGTTGCTCTCTAGGATGAACTTACCTTTAGTCACCTGACCAACAATACTAGTCTCTAGTATTGTGTGAGAAGGCTTTTGTTTATCTCTGACTATCCTCTAAATCAAGTTGATTTGAATGTTTCCGGGAACTTAGTTTATTAAAGAAAAGGGAACGAATGATTGTAATGTAAAGAATTAAAACAAATATCATTTCAATAGGATTAAGTAATACAGTCTTAATCCAAGCCGAGAGACTTACGCTTGCGAGTTGGTTTACAAAATTATCTGAGGAGAGAGACAGAGAGAGAGAGAGATAAAACTATGCGGACTAAGCGCACGGCGCGATCACAAAAGGTTTACTACGCATATACTAAAATTCTCACCTCGGTACTTTTTACGAACAGCGCGACTAACAATAGGTGCACCTACTCTGTGGTACGGTTACGGTGATCATCGTAACCGATCTTGTCACTATTTTCTTCTGAACGCTCCTGTTGTTCCGCCACTGGTGTCGCTCTCGCTGAGAGTCTTTCTCCGCAGTTCTTACTGTTCTCACTTTTGGTGTCCTTTCTGTCCTCTCTTCCTGCTTTTTTCTATCACTTACGGAAAATTCACGTTCTAGATAGCACTCTTATGTCGGTTAATGGCTCAGATGTTACTATTCTGCGCGCCTATATCTACTCAAATCCTTCGTGCTCTATAATGCTTTATATATCTTATCTATAATACTCTAAAAGTTTCACTATCGTTCCGTCGAATTCGTTGTGATATAAGTGAACTCGAATACTATTTTGCAGACTTAAAAGCTATCGCACCTGAAGGAAAAAAAACGTTTGCCTATTACTTTGACACCATATACTGGGTGACACATTGTAATCGACAAATGGAGATATCCCCCAAACTACGGGATCTACAATAAAAATGTAAATTGCAACACTCCCTTACAGTGGTGACCCCGACGTAATCTAAACATGCAACGACGACTCAGTAGAACTTGCTGGGCAACCGGACACCGTAGGAACACCTCCGACCGTCATAAACGCATCGCGCACTGCCACCTATGTTGGGAGCTATAACCGATCAGGATGTCCAACGGAGAAGCCTACGCGACGCGGCTCGCACATCCCCCTCGTCGAAAACTCAGCTCACACGGTTGTTTCCTTCTCTACTACCCCTCTCACATGCTCGCAGCATGCACACATCTCGCATGCTTGAAGCTAAAAGGGGAATTCTCTTCGCTTGCACGTAGCAACAATCTCTCGTCCTCCATTGCCATCTTTCTCTCTTTCATTCCGCTCCTCTTCTCTTATCGTGACTCGAGCTCTCGCCTCGTCACTAGGGGGGAGTACTGTGGCAGTCTCATGGATCGACCATGCACATCTAGATGGTAGCGGCTAGCCACGAACGGCAAGAAATACGTTCTTAGAAACCTTTTGATGCCCAACTCAGAAATAGCTGAACGTTTTACGTCCAGAAATGTATGTAAGTCCAAGAAAAATATAGTCTAAATAAACCCCTAAAAGACACTCCTGCTAAACCATAAACAGGATAATCTATCTAAATCTGGAAACAGAAAGTTTGCTCTCTTATTTTTTTTAATGACTGAATTCCACACTATGCTAATGCAAACATGCTACAGCAATCGATGGGATATGATTTTAAAGGTCTTTTATACAGCTTTCGAACCATATGGAATACATACTCGTATATGGCTTTCCCTTTTTATGGGTTGTGATATCATAAATAAAATTCCGTTTTTTCTATCAAACTTCAAAGCAATGTACTTTTGCGGGAAGTTATTGGACAAGAAAATTAGATATATCATTTAAAAGATCGTTTGAAAAGTTACAAAATTCATGTGCGAGAAAAATTTTTAAACTTGTTCTTTTGAGCTACATATCGTTTAACAAAAAACTAACCGTTTACAAAATTCATTGGATCTCTCAAAGTTGTGATTATAAAAAAAACTGTAATAAAAAAAAAATTGTATTTTTCAAAGACAAACTACCTATTAAATTGAAACATAAAAAGAGAATATTTTTTTATGTTTTCATATTTTTTTGGACAAAATAATGTGTTTAATGTATGAATATATTATACAAAAAAAATCAGGTAATTAACAACGAAAATAACACAATTGCTATATTAATTTGTCAATTCTTTTCCTTTTTTAACGTTAAACATATATTTATAATTTATAATACTTAATTTTTTGTTTTGCATTTCTTAAAGTTCAAAAGAACGTATTATATAATACATATGCTGAATGGCTTATTACTGTAAAAATTGTAAATGAAGAAATATAATCTAATGCTGTTAGTCATTAATCATTATCGTTTTCGCTTATTTTGTAATCTAATTCATCTTGTTATTGATCGCTATATTTCTTAAATGTGGGAAATTGATAATATATAATGTATAATGCCCTTAGTAGCACATCAGAAGTGACCAAGCCTGAGTATTTTTTTCTTTAATATTTTTCGATTATGGAATGCGAAGAATTCACTATTCATCGTGCGTTGTGAATGGAGTTGAAATTTTTCTTTCTTGTTCACAAACATAGCGTTTTTTGCCGATTCATTGTTATGAAATAAAGCTATGGTGTATAATTTAGGATAGCTGATAAGGTTAGTTGGGGATAGGATAGATGAGATAACAGAACACTGTTTTCCTTGAGTATTATTTTTATTCCGTAACGATGACAAGGCAATCATTACAATCCACTGTTATATTTTCGACCTTTACTAGATCCCATGTAATCTTTGTACTCAATCTCATGGACCATGATCTGGTCTAGAGGAGAAGTGGCGTGAGTCATCTAACATAAGAGAAAGATAATAAAGTATCGTCGAAGACATTTTAGCAGAATCCAGAATTCTGTATTCTCAAGATGCTGAAGGATGAGAGTGAAGTTGGTAGCGTGACAGCCACTAGAGAGGTGGAGAGTAAAGTACCGTCTGAAGCACCACTAAAAACTCCAAGAGTCCTTATCTTGAAGAGACTCAAAAGGGTGACTTGCTAGTCATTAGATAAAATCTCTTGCTAGTGCTGTCATTGAAGCAACTGGTACAATTAACTAGGAAGGTCCGATGCTCCATTTTTTAATGCCACAGGTGATGCCGTGAGTGCTTTTCCTCACTAAGATACTTCGTTAACTTGGTTAACTTTATGTGGCATCCCCGTGTACACACGCACACACACCGACAGTACGTTCATGGTACTGTCATTCGCGCATAGACAATAAGTCACTGTTTGTGCAGTATAATCGGACGTTTTTCTGCTGTCATTCTTTACTCGACATTGTTCAAGTCACAAATCCCAATGGTTCGTAAAATTAATGTTCCACGCTGTTGAAACGACCATCACCGAATGAAGTAATCTTGATAAATAACCAAAATGTACAACATTTTAGCAATAATGTTAACTTTTGCCAAGCAATGTTCGATTTTTTATTTCACCACGTACCACGTTAGAACGGTGAAATAAAATAACATGATTGATACAAGCACCACTGAAAAAGTTTCATGTGGTTTGTTCTCAAATACAGTGCAAGCCTCCGTCGATGATTAGGACTGATGGAGCATAAATAGAGCGACGTTAAACAAAATAAAAAAAAATAAATAAAATGATATATCAGCAAATCTGATCACGAATGAACTAAAAATTAACTTCTATTAATACTTCATCACTTTAAAAGAAGAAAATATCATATGCCAGCAATCATTTTTTTTATGGAAATTAATATCTACACGCTTATTTTACGATTAATCTTCTAAAATATTATTGTTTTCTATTTCCAGAGTATTAAGGGACATGTTAGAGGAATTTAATTTATATCAATTATTTTGGTTTAATTTCAATCGTTTTTTGAATATTTAAATTATTTACTCGTTGAATTGACGTAATAAAGGATTAACAGCTCAGCTATTTACATAAAAATTAAAAATCGAATGATAATAACAGATTCTAGAAATATGTCAGTTACTATATACTTTTATTTATATCATATGGCTCCGCGGAGCTTCATCATCCTCTTAAAAATATTTTTGATTATTGAAATACATTTATTTTTGACATCTCCTTATTTATTAATTTTTTACAGATTGAAGATAAATCGAATATAGTGCCTTTAATAGCTGGATTACGGAGAGACGTTCTGGGCCTTATTTCTGAAGTAAGATATTTTTCTAATAAATTTAACTTTTTGCTTGTACCAATACTGTATCATTGAAATATTGTAGGGTATTACACTTATATGGGAAAGCTACAAGCTAGATTCTTATGTTCAACGTCTATCAGAAGTTGTATTGTCTTTTCAAGAAAAAGTTGAAGATCTACTAGTAGTTGAAGAACAATTAGAAGCCGATATTCGATCATTAGAAACATGTCCATATTCGGCAAATACTTTTGCGGAAATATTAACTAAGATACAAAAATCTGTAGATGAATTATCTTTAAAAAATTTTTCAAACCTTCATATTTGGGTATCACGACTTGATGAAGAGGTAGAGAGAAACTTAGCTTTCCGGCTCGAAGCAGGAGTGAAAGCTTGGACAGATGCTCTTCTGGGAAAGAAAAGAGATATTGATTTGAGTATGGATACTGATGCCCCTATCCAACCAACTCATAAATTGGGTGGCGATCCGAAGATCCTTAATCAGTTACATGAAGTTAGAATAACCAATCAAACTATGTATCTGTACCCTAGTATCGAAGATGCTCGTTTTCAAATTATGCAGCAACTTTTTGCTTGGCAGGCAATCGTCACTTCTCAGGTATTTATATACATATTACATCAACAAAGATTGACGTTTAAATCGAACGTGCCTGTGTATGACAAGGATCCCACAATATCCTTATGGGAAATGGTTTTGGTCAATGTTTTTTTAACTCTGGTAAAGACTAGTATATCAGAAGTATGCTATTATATACTATTATACAGGGTGTCCCATTTTAACTTTCACAGCTGAATATCTCGGAAACAAGCCCGGAAAGCTAAAAAATGATTCATATGAAAGTTGTTCAGGATCGAGAGGGTAACGTATTAATGAACTTTGATTTGACCTTGAATACGCCTTCAAGGTCATTTCAAGGTCAAAGTTGTTATTGAATAGGAACCCCTATTTTATAACACGGATTCGAATTCCTCGTGAAATTCTACGTTCAGATCATGTAATATATGTGGAGTCTCGAGGCCGCCCACAACCCAATTGCCTCCTCCCCCCAAAGGATATTTCCAGGTCAATATTGTTTTTTCAAAAAAAACCCCTATGTTTTATCACGGATTTAGGTTTCTTGTCAAAATCTACGCTCAGATAAAACTATATGTGTGGGGTATGGATCATCTCCCCAATAACCCCCTACCAGGTCATTTCAAGGTCAATGTTGCGTTTTCAATTGGAACCCGTTCTTTGACTGGATATTCAAATTCTGCATAACATTCAAATGATATTTCATAAATGAATAATGAATCTCTGGTACCCTTAATTTTACATTTGCTAACGTATTTTAAGCTGTTTCTTGATTTCTACTGAACTAGGCAACCATTGGGATTTGCTTTTAGGAAAAATTTCTTAAGCATCAACGTACCCGATCCAAGTGCAACTATTGTTTAAATAATAGGAAATTTTTTTGCCTTAACTGGCTGGATCTTTACATGATCTTGCCTTAACTAGATTGATCCCTACATGATCTTGCCATAACTGGTTTGATCCCTACACGACCCTGCCTTGACTAGCTGGGTCCTTAAACATACAAACCCTTCCCTAGGAGCTGTAAGACCTTGCAAATGATAGGAAGTCTTAAATATTGAATTTAAGTAGTTGAGGGCTAGTTTGAACTATGTGAGTTCACACGCTATCGAGCTCCGTAGATGCTTAAATCAGTGCAAACCAAAAAACAACCTAATATATACTAGAAAGTGTAAAAATAAGGTTACCAGAAATTCATCATTCATTTACGAAATATCATCTGAATGTAGAATATTATGTAAAATTTAAATCTGCTGTCAAAGATATGGGTTCCAATTAAAAACGCAACATTGATTTTGAAATTATCTGGGCGGGAGTTATTGGGGAGATTATGCGTACCCCACATATTTAGTTTTATCTGAACGTAGATTTTGACAAGGAACCCCAAATCCGTGATAAAAAATAGGGGTTTCTTTTGAAAAAACAATATTGACCTGGAAATATCCTTTGGGGGGGGGGAGGGGGGCAATTGAGTAGTGGGTGGTCTCAGGTCCCCACATATTACATGATCTAAACGTAGAATTTCACAAGGAATTCCAATCTATGGTATAAAATAGGGGTTCCTATTCAAAAACAACTTTGACCTTGAAATGACCTTGAAGGCGCGTTCAAGGTCAAATCAAAGGTCATAACACATGGCCTTCTCGATCCTGAATAAGTACTTTTAGTAACCACTAGTATACCAAAGTATACTATTATATTCTGATAAACTAGTACAGTTGGTAAAGTAGTCGTATATCGAAAGTCTCAATGAGCACGCATTCTACAGTTTTATATTACGGTGTAGTACTCTCCAAAAATGAAGATTTTACTAATGCCGCATAAAGCGTACATACTTAAGCGGAATTACCTTTGACATTATTATACACATGTACGTGCGTATGAATGTATACATGTTGATGTGTACTGATACGGGCGCACACGAAATTTTTTTCAAGAAAAAACTTTGAAATGAAGTTTATAATATATAATTTTTTCATTAACAAACCTGGCGATGACCTTGATTTTGACCTTTAAGTTACTTTTTAAGATCATTTTAAGGTCAATTTTCATTTTATAAGGAGGAAGCCTACTTTCTGCCCTATATCTAAATTACCAAGGTCATGCGAATTTCAATGCTATTTTTTTAATTCGTCTACCTAAACGATCTTACAATAATACGGTTATTTTATATAAATTTATATTGGGTGTGTATATATATAGATTCATGTTCCTACGCAAAGATAGTCGCACCAACACAAGTAACCACGCGCGCTGATTGATCATTATAAACGAAAACGCAAGAGAGAGAGGGCCCGCGAAATCAAAGAGTAGCTGTTCCAACCCACATGCAAGCAGACGCACGGTCCTTTGATAAAAGCCTTTGCTATTATCTTGCCTTTTCCTTTTTTGAGAAGAAAGAATAAATCATTTTAGGTCAGTGTTAGGAGGAGCAATAAAGAGGCTACAGAGCAGTTACTGCGATTACGTACTGGTGCAGCTACGAGAGTGGATCTATGATGTGTAAGACTGTGTCACCGTGTGATTTATCGGCGCCCTTTTCCAAAAAAAACTTTCCGACATGTTTACACCTCAGACCCGTACGCTTACGCTATTAACAAGGGTTACCTTAAACACGAGTTTATCGCCCGCGTGGACGCGCAACCTGTAAGTACCAACTTGATCATTTTGTCTTTCGGTTATACCTCAACGAATTCGGTTATTTACTCCACGCCTCCCTTTTTCAAAGCGAATTCACGTCGTTCCAGCCGTCTAGTAAATAGCGTGAACCTGACCTGGTTTTTCTGACTGTCTTCTAGCTAGCAACATTTAATTATTTTATGCTAACGGAGTGAACCGGGCTTAATTCTCGTTACAGATGTAACTTACTGAACTCTGAAGGGAAAATGTTATGTCAAACTCGACTTTGACCTTGAAGTTCATTTCTTAGGTTATCTTAAGGTAATTTTCATTTTCTTTTACAAAAATCACATTTTTGATCTCGAATTTGAAAAAGAATGTAAATTTTACATCCACATATATATACCCACAACCAATGGTCAAACGACCTTCGAAGGTTATTTATATAACAATATTGTATTTTATTCGAACAGAAATCTCCTTTCTCTTTCTAAAAACGATTGGAGGAGTCAATCGACTACCAAATATCTATTATGATCTTCTTTTTTTAGATCATTAGGTTATTTGAAAGAACATGATGTCTAGTAATAGGTTATGCATCATATATAATATTTATTTTATGTTCTTTTCGAATCCCAAATCCATAATAACGATGACCGTGAAATGACCTAGGAAATAAACTTTAAGGTCAAAGTCCAGTCCACCATGAAATTTTCTTTTCGGAGTCTAATATTTTTCGTTTGAAACATTTTTTATTAAATCGTATTATTATAGGATCGTTTGAGTAGACTGATTAAAAGAAATAACATTGAAATTTGCATGATATCGACAATTACGTATCTAGAGGAAGGGGGTCTTATAGACCAAACACTTGATCGATCGTCTGATCGTGAAGTTTTTCGCTGATTCCGAATCTCCTATTCAAAAAATTAAAATTGATGGATGGTTGATTTTTTATATTTTATCTTTTTATCTTTTAGCCTTTTAAATTTTTATCTTTTCTGGTAGAACAAAAAGCTTCGTAGTCATTTTCAAGCAGTGCAATTTTTATTGTCTTTTATGAAATATTATGGTATTGTCGATGAGCACACTTGAAAAATCCTTGTTCACCGTCAGCCATTATTTTTATAACAATAGAAAATACTTTTAATGATGTTCAATGACGTTATTCTGGAGCGGGGGAGTGAAGGAACAGAATAGCCCTCTATACTCAATACAAAAGTGAGCAATTGCTGTCAACTTAAAGTAATAAAATATTTCCAATCTAAAAATTGTACAAATGAATCTTAAATCAGAAATTGACAAATAAAGTTACTTAAAAATCTTTCTTGATTTAAAAAAGTTTACTAAAGACTCGTCATATTTATTATCAATTTATTTTAGTTCAACACTATGTTAACAGAGACTTGACAACAGCGCTAGTATGTTGCGATAATATTTCTCGCATTATTATATCTATGTATACTTATATTATGTGTGTTTCTCGAGCTAAACTCCGTACATAAGCTTTAAATAGTGATTAGGGTGCAAAATGCATAAAAATGCAGATTGATAGGACACATATTGTATTAAAAAAAGGATGTCAAGTCATGTGTGGTAGATTTGATAATGCGAAAGGTTGATTAGAATGATAGGTAGCAAAAACAACTGGATTTGGAAAAAGATGCTGAAAAAATAGAGCTAGAAAAATCAGCTTCTGTTGTAAAGAGCTCTAGAGTTGTAGATATTCAACATATGGCTGATCAAATGTATTGCTGCGATTACTCTGAACCTTTGTTGAAACAGAATAATCTTTTCATAAATTCTGTAAAATCACCTCAACAGTACACAAATTCATAAAGTGAATAAACTGTTTTTGTCGTGAACACAAAAATAGCTTCAGGTAAAAATATTAATATTGATAAATCTATCGTAATTTTAGTTATTATTTATGAATATAATAATTTGAATTTTATGATTTCAGAAGTCATTTATACTAGTATTGATCAAATTAATGCATATGAACGTTGCGCTATTGCGGATCTTTCTAGCTTCAATTTTCAACTTTTTAGGGAACATGAACGAATAATTGGTAAATAACCAGTAATAAAATATGTTGCCAAAGAAAGTTACTCAAAGGCTATAGCCTTATAATAGCCTATAGCCTATAGAGGCTATAGAATTAAAATTAGTTAGTTATTTGATGCAATAACACTGTACTTTTGCAAAATGAATTTTTGACTTACTTATTCATCATGTAAATAGCAGTAAGCTGTTAAGGGAGTTTTACTATTAGAGAGAGAGCATGAAATTTTTTCTTTTTTTAAATTATTATATTTAATAATTTATAATCCTATATCATAATATGTTAATCATGACCAATTTATACTTGCTAATTAGATTATGAGTTGCATAATTTACGATTG